CTATGTAAACTCTGCTTGATTGTATGAATAATAGTCAAGGTAACTGCTGTATAGTTTTCCAAAAATCTAAAATGTTTGGAAGGCTTCTACCAGTCCATACATTATCTCTGTCGCTACTTCCTTTAAAAGCCTAGGATACAAACCATCAGGTACTGGTCAACGCAAATGAAGTGCTGTGGGTACAGGGCAGTCTCTGCGAGAAATCCAGCCATAGATATTCTCTTGGGTCTGCTGATATCATTAACAGCTGCAGCGATGGTTATCATAGTTAGTAGGAACTGCAGATGCTGGAGAATCCGAGACAACAAGGAGCAGGGCTGGATGAACACAGCAGGCCAAGCAGCATCATAGGAGCAGAGATAGTAGGAACTACAGATGCTGGAGAATCCGAGACAACAAGGTGCAGGGCTGGATGAACACAGCAGGCCAAGCAGCATCAGAGGAGCAGAGATGGTTATCATGTTCAGTATTTGTACAACAGTAGCACAGGTAGTCACCATTGTAGCTCATCCGCCCCACAGCACCTGCAGCAGATGTTATTTGTATGCATTTCCTTCCTTCCCTCTAGAAGCAGGATCATAAAACTTTAGAAGAGTGACAGGGCAGGCTTCTTCTTTCAAAAAAAAAGAGAAAAATTACACACAAGTAATCCCATATCCAAGGCTGATAGAGCCAAGTCTGCTCATTTAGAGCTGGGTTCTGTAAACTCCACAAGAATCACTTGGAAGTTTTCTAATCCCTCCTTTATAGAGAATGGTTACAAAATGAACCTCATGACTGTACAGTTGGTCAACTAACCAGCTGTGTAACATTTTGAACACCTACAACATTCCTTCCTGAAGTCTTAATAAAATGACTTTTGTGATAACAATTATTATGGAGTAACTGCTAATTTACAATAAATTTGCAATTCTCAACTCCTGATCTCTACAAGATCCTTAACAGCACCTTCCAAACCCATGATATTTGTAAAGAAAGGCAGCAGATACATGGGAACACCACTATCACAAGTTACCCTACAAGCCACCCATCATCTTGACCTGGAAATATATCACCGCTCCTTCACTATCACTGGGTCAAAACCCTGGAATTCCCTCCCTAATGGCATTGTGGGTCTGCAGTGATTCAAGAACACTGCTTATTTACAAACATATCAAGAGCAACTGAATGCTGGCCAGTTGGCTACACCCACATCCCATGAGTGAATTAAATAAAATTTTATTTGTCAAGGAAATAAACTCAATTGTATTCACAAAAATCAGTCAAAGTTGTCAACAGAATTAGGTGTTCAAACAGACAGACATTCATCATGCATCAATACCTCACAATTGCCTGTTTCTTAAACATTATGTTTACATTATTTAACATTTATTTAGCAGCAGGAGGTGATGGCCTGGTGGTATTATTGCTGGACTGTTAATCCAGAGACCAGACAACATTCTGGGGACCCAGGTTCGAATCCTGCCATGGCAGATGATGAATTTGAATTCAAATTCTATCTGGAATTAAGAATCCAATGATAACCATGAATCCATTGTCAATTGTCATGAAAAACCCATCTGGTTCACGAATGCCCTTTAGGGAAGGAAACTGCCATCTTTACCTGGTCTGGCCTACATGTGACTCCAGACCCACAGCAATGTGGTTGACTCTCAACTGCCCTCTGAGCAATTAGGGATAGGCAATAAATGCTGCCTAAGCCAGCAATGCCCTCATCCTGTGAATGAATAAAGAAAAACAAAACTGATTTTACAACTAAAAAGATGGCTGACTACACTAATGGTAATGGTCTTTTCTATTCCTCACAGCCAAAGAATAGGAATTAGCATACAAGAGCTCCTGTTAGTATCAAATCATTTTAAATATTCATACTTGCACCTCCTCACATCTAAAATGTCACAAAACATCAATTATTCTGAAGTGCTCAAAAGAAAATATTGCGGCCAACAGGTAGATGGAGATTCTGCCGACAGTAATGAGATGAGCAACAAATTAACCTGTTTGAGGATGCTGCACAGGATAAAGTAGGAATTTGATCTTTAATGCTTATCTGAACCAGATGGAAAATAAAACTTCTCAACTTCAAAGAATGGCACCTTGCAAATTGCATTGAAATGTCTGCTAGTTAAGATGTGAAAGCTTAAATTGGAGCTTAGTCATGTCACATTGAGGTTAGAATGCTAACTATGGCAATATATTATGACTTTAAAAATGCAAGCCATTACTCAATTCCACCTATACATGTAGGCCCAAGAGACAGTTAGCAGAGCAGGATGCATACATATTCCAAGCCATATTCTTACAAGACATTATTAACTGCATCCTTTTTTATTTCAACATGTGAGCCCTTTTCATTTTATAGTGTTCTATTAATTTTCTTCACTTAGTAGACAGAATTTCACGAAGGAAATAAACTCATTGTTTCTGCCTTCACCAGGTTTTTTGAAAAGCTGCTGCACACAGAAAACAGGAAACAAAACTCTTTTGTAAAAAAGCACAAGTAAAAATAATCCAACTCCAAACAGCAATTTACAACGTTTTTTTTCCGTGGTGTGCAAGAGAATATTGAGTTGTAACCTGATGCAAATAACATCACTCCCTCAGAAGGACAAAACTGGACATCAACCTCCTCTCTTCCTACCAATGTTTTTCTGAATGTGCAGGGAAAAGAGAAAATAGTGCTGATGCCAGGATCACTGTGAATGTAATAAATTTATTGGAAATACGGTCCTGGATGTAAATCGTAGCAGTACAATATCTTATCATTTCAATTAGTTGAGTTTTTATAAACAATGTGCATAATACAAACAGGATTCATATTCAAGTACAGATATCAAACGCACCATTTCCCATTCAATTTTCTCCACGAAAGAATTTGCAGTTACATGCCTTTCACAACCTCAGGATATCCTAAACCGATTTACAGCCAATGAAGTACTTTTGAAGTGTAGTCACTGCTCCAGGTGCCTAATTAAATGCACAACTTTCTTTCAGCATTTTTTGGTCAATCAATTTTACATTTATCAGAACAGCAAAATATTATAGAGAGGTTTCAGCAGCTCATTTGTTCCAAAATGAGTAGACCAAACTTCCTTTCCAAAGTCAGAGTTAGATTTTACTCTGACGTTTTTAATCTATTGTCTGTATGCATCAGTTTTGCACATTCATGACCGCACTTGGTTTGGGAATCCCTTAGTGGGAGAGGACAAAATCCTCAACAGTAAACATTAGCTTCTACTGCTTACTGACAGCTGGCTAAGTAAAATATGTCAAAGAAATCCAAGCAAGATCTCGTCCACTGCAGCCTTTCAAGCTGGAGGACAGTTTCATGATGGGGACTGGAAAAAGGATTTTTTTCAAATCAAGAGGGAGGAGAGATTGTAATTCTCTCAAAATATAACTTTTTAAAAAGTACATTTAATTTAAATTAGTAAGCGATGCAAGGAAGCTGCAATCAAAATGATATGGCAAGCATGTGTGATTTGATGGTTTGTATTAATCTGTATTATGCTGAGAAATGATTTTCTTCACAAGATGAAGTTAAACCATTTTGTGACAGTTTTAAAAAGGACCACACACCATTTACCTCCACCAACGGACATTCTTTATCACTTTTGCCAGCTAAATGTAAAATACAGCTAAGAGTCTACATTGCTAAAAATAAGTCCGATACAATAAGGGCGAGTGTGTACTGTTGTGAAAGTAACTTCCATCTTCATTGTGATTTATAACGTCCAAAGCAATTTCTCCAATGCATTTATGAAAATGATGAAATCACCAACATATGAAACACAGCATTGATCACCAGAGCGAGTTGGGTTGGGGGCTTTTGGGCACAAGGAGTGTGTGGCAAGTAAAAGCAAGAGAATGAAGAAGTGAGGTTGTCAGAGCATAGAAAGGGCAGATGTTCTCAAAACACCTCAAAATAACGCTGACTTGGGATCACTGAGAAAGAGCAGAACAAAAAATAAAGCACAAGCAAAAACAAGCCAAAGAATCAAGATTAATTTAAAAAAAAACACTTGTGGTCATGGTGTGTCACTTTCAAATAAATTTTTGAGGGTTTATTCAGCATTTTTATTCATACAAATGGCAAAACCTGCATGATAAAAGATACACAAAAATATCCATGACCTTTTATTTCCAAGTAACAAAACGGGAAGGAAAAAAAGCACTTTAAAGTGTATGCATAGAAACACCTAACCCTTTAGTTTACCATGAATTTGTCAATGCTTTCATGTAGTCTTCCAGATTGTGCACCTTGCAAAATGTTTACATTAAAATGGCTGATGACTACTACTGAATTTCAATCACAGTAAACAGAATTACAGGCATCTGAGAAGCACTTTGCTGAACTAGCATACACCTATAAGAGAAAGCGAACAAAAAGATCAGGGTGGTGTCATCTTCCTCACACAAGTCCCATGTAGTATATCCAATCTTATCTTTTGAGCTGCTTCTGGAGTCCATAGTTTCTCCCAGCCTCAGTTTTCTTACCGGGTGGCCACCTTCAAGGGCAAGTCAGCCAGTGAAGTCATTATCCAACTGGAATCACATGAATCAAAGAGATTTCTTTCCTTAGGGCCCCAGTTTTCTAAATTACCTTTCAGTAGGGTTTAGTACTTTGTGACTCGAATGTTCACAGGGCAGATGGAATTTAGGTTTTCAAAATCACTCTGTACTCAGTAGGATAGCAACCGTTTCTGCACCTACCCCCTCGATACTTCTGCAGTTCTTGTATGACAGAAAGACAATCATGTAGTAATTCAGACCGGGCGCTATGGCCCTTGACCTTGGGGTGCAGACCGTATAAGCATATCCCTGAGTGCAGCCTTCTGACTAATCACTCCGAATGCACGGGGATTCCTAGATTACCTCAGATTAAGCCCCAGAATACATCAACACCTGCCATGGTACGGCTATAGATGCCTGTGGCTGAGTTGATTCTGGTGGATGCCTGACCTCATTGAACCAGAGAGATCCACTGTATTCCAGTTCATACCCATGCTGTCCAACCTTCATACAGTTGTGCCAAGTTATCTAGATTAGTAGCCTCTTTAATCACGTAATCAACCTAGAAAATACAATGAGTGAGAATTTGTTTTTGATTGATACATTGACATAACTGAAGTATGTGTTAAAGCCCAACAATAGCAACTAAAACAAAACTTAAGTCAGTGTTCGGGGACAAATTTAAACAGTTTCCTAATAGTTAACATATTTATTTTGAGAGTAGGCAAAAAATTCATTTAATTTTCATGACTCAAATTTGAAACAGTATCTTAATTTTCTGAGGTATGTAAAAGACTAAGAGACAGCAAGAGTAGACCATTCAGCCCTTCAAACCTGCTACACCATCAAGATCCTAGCTACTTCTCCACATAGTGTTGAGCTTGCTATCTCACCTGGATTTGCTTGCCCCATCCTAAGGATTACAGATATAGCCATCTCTGATCATGCTTGTAGATTAATCACTACCCAGATCCTTCTTCCATGCCCCAACCCTATTCGCTCCTATATCCATTCCTGGATAAAGCCCTCTTCCAGTTCACTTACAACTGCACTTTTAAAATAAAACGTGCTTAGTCTTTGGTCCACCATTTGCCACAAGATGTCTGCAGCTACTAATCTGCTCAAGTACACGGTCGCCTCCATCTTAAATCGACCTTGGCTCTCACCCTGGCTGTCCCAATGGTACAGCCCCATCTTAACTCATTTAAACAAAGGGACACAAACTTGAAAGGACAGAGCAGATACCTAATTTAGCCGGACCACAAAACTGTCATGCCTTGTTCCAGCTTGCTAAAACTGATCAAACAAAGCAAGATCATCTTGGGATACAGAGAGCTAACCCTTACCTTCATTTCACCACTGCAATCTTAAACACCCTTCCCCTCCAACAGCAAGTGCCGTAGTTCATGGACTTCTGTGTCACCAAGATCAAGGCGATATGATCTGCTGGCTTGTCACACCCTCCACTAGCCCACCTAGCCAAATATTCTTCACGTTTTTCCCCAAACTTGCATCTTTCCCTGGTTTCTCCCATCTCCCCTCATGCTCAGAGCTCACCTTTCCATGAGACGCACCTCCTGCTCTCTAGACCTTATTCCCACTGAAATTCCAACTTCAACACCTGATTCCAATGTTAGCCATTATTGGGATTGCTTTGCTTTCTTCAGTTGTTTCTCTCTCTCTCCCCCCCACTTTTAAATCTGTCATCACCCTGGTCTGCAACATACCAACCCTTGACCTCTGTCTTGGCAAACTCCATTCCATCTTCAACCTCCCTTAATTTTCCAAAGTCCTTGAACCAGTTGTTGCCTCCCAAACCTGTTTGCATCTTTCCCAGAACTCCACGTTTGAATCTCTCCAATCAGGTTTCCCCCATCATACAGTACCAAAAGGGCTCAAAACCACAAATGTCATCTGATAGACTGTCAATTTCAACCTTTCTATAGCCTTTGGTACAGTGGATCACAAGACATAGGAGCATAAGTAGGCCATTCAGCTCATCCAGTCTGCTCCACCATTTAACAAGATCATGGCTGATCTTATAAATCTTAACTCCACTTACCAAACTTTTCACCGTAACCTTTGATTTCCTCATCATTTAGAATCTCTTTACTTAATAATCCAGCTTCAACAGCAATACGCGATTATTGTGAACCAAGACAAATCCGGCCAAGTTGCTCTTGAGCTAGTGATGGTGGTGGGCTTCCTTCTTGAAATGGTTGTAGTCTATTGCTGTACACTCAGTGAAATCAGCTGAACCCAAGTTTGGTAGGGCCCAGCAGAACAACAATTGCTTATGACTGAGGTCCAGCGTGGTGTTCTCTCTAAACTGACCTATGTTGCACTGACATCATGCAATATTTACAACTTTGAAATGCAGTAATTCATTTGGGATGCCTAATGCTCAACTGTTGCGAAAAATACATGGCAGATTTGTTTTGCTTCACAATATTCACCCAGCTTGCGAAGTTTGAAAAATGAAGTAACTTCCCATTTAAGATCACATGACAAGTTAGCAGATATCTCTTTAAATTGATTGAGATCAGTTACCCCACTCTATATCAGAGGTCCACTGTTTCACAGTACAGCCTTTGTTGGGACCACACCCACTTGGTCCAACGAAGCCAGCAACATCAACAGCTTCTACACTCTGACATGGTCACTTCCAGAGACTACACTGCTACGCTTCACATTCAAACTTTGCTCCTCAGTGAGGGTACCCATTAACACATCAAGGTTAATTTCCGTTCTATGTTATGAGACACAGCTCTACATTGCACTATCCTCTGACAAACTTTAGGTCATCTTAAAGGTTTCTCCAGCTGAACAACTGAAAGCAAGAAGCCACTCTGTTGCCTCCTAAAAGAAACTCTGGTCCCCTTGACACCTAGCTACTCCCCAACCTGACTATCCAACAGGGAGCAAGCTTCGAAGCACAGAAAGTAGTTGGGAAGGCCAATGGAAGGTTGCTGTTTATTGCAAGAGAAATGGAATGTCAAGATAGAGACTGTACAATTAAACAGGACATTAGCAGCACAGCTAGAGTATTGGGTATAGATTTGGACTTTTTATTAAAGAAAAGGCCATAATTGCACTAAAAGCAACCCAGAGGAGATTCACTCAAATGCTTGCTGGATTGGGATGAGGGTAAAAGTCATGTTAGGAAAGAGGATTGGAAAGACTGGGCCGGTATCCATCAGAATTCAGAAGAATGAGGAGAATCTTATTGGAATTTATAGCATCCTGAAGGGAAGGTAGATGAAAAAAGGATGTTTTTTTTTTTGGGAGAGTCGAGAACAAGGGGACATGGTTTAATAATAACAGACCTCCAATTTAAGAAGGTTTGAAGAAACATTTCCTCTTGAAGGGTTGAGGGTTTATGGAACATACTGCCCCAGAAAATGAAAGCTGGGCCACTGAATTTCTTTTTTTTTTTTTTTTTAAAAAAGGAGGGAGGGAGACAGATTTTTGATCAACATGGAACTAAAAGGTTATCAGCATAGGCAGGCAACTGGAGTGGAGACCATAAGCCACAATCTTCTCGAATGGCAGAGCAAACTCAAAGGGTTGTATGGCTTACTCCTGCCCCAAATATGGATGCTTCTATGATAGTATTATCTAATACTTAGCGTTTTGTTCAATCCAGAATTGAACAAATATCATTGTAAAATTAACCTTCCCCTTCATATCGCCAGCTTTCACTTTTACGTTGCAACTATCACTTCAGCGTGCATCTCTGTTTCCTCACTATGCCAGCCTCTGACACCCTGTCTCACTCCAGTACTGCCGAATCAACACCCTATGCCTCTCACTCTCCAACTGACTTTGTTCTCATTCATCCTTCCCTCCTCAACCTTAAACCATCCCAGCTCTGAACCTCTCATACTAATGTGAAATTTAATCCTCCACCTTTGGCTCCTATACAGCACCCCCTCTCCACCACTGACAGCTGGGCCATCTGCTGAAATAGCACAATGCTCTGGAACTGTTTCTCTACCAACATCATTGCTCTTTTTCCATAATGTTAAACCTCGTTGTAATCTGCCTCTTGAACCAAGCTTTTTGTCACCATCCCAATATCCCCATACTATCAGTATCAGATTATCTTGTAAATCTAAGGTGGTTTTCTATTTTAAAAGCATTATTATATGCAAAAACAGTTGAGTTAGGTTTTCTATTAAAAAAATACACATTAAAAAGACAAAAATGCCATGACAATGCTGTACCTGTTCAGCAACAGTCATTCTCCTGTTGGGATCCACATCTCTACCTTCCAACTTGGCCTTCACTCTTTTCCACACACTGACAGCATAGGAATTCCGTTCCTGAACAGCTAAAAGCAAAAAGAGTATGTATAAATAAATAAATAAATAAATAAATAAATTCCAATTTGCATTAAATTAGGCATCTTAGCAAGTACAATTGTTATTAAAGGCAAACAGAAAATGCTGGAAATACACAGGTCAGCCATCGACTGAAATGAAAGAAAATGTCTTTCAATAGGTCAATCCAAAATATCAAACGTGGTTCTCTTTCCATAGATGACGTCAGAGTGGCTGAGTATTTTCAGCATCTGCAATATTTCACTTTCAGGTAATACACTAAAGTACAACAGTCTCCATATACTCCAAATATCTACAAAGGGATAGGGTTAGGATTAGACTTACGGTTTCAGGTAAACAGCAATCTGTTTGCAAAAGGAAACTTACCTTTCCCAGTCTTGGGATCTCTGGCTGCCTTCTTAGGACTTGGAGCAACATTCTTTCCCAGTCCTATAGATGTTCCTGGTGGAGTATTCGCTGAAGCAGCCAGGTTTCTCTGAGCCATCTTCCGTGCATTCTGTGACATAACTTCTGGTTGTGTCTTTTGAGTTGTACTGCTCCGAACCGCTGCAGGGACAGAAGTTATTGGGTACTTAAAGCAATAGCTTGCTTTACTTGTAGAAAGTAACAGACTAAAAGAAAAAGTTTATATTTCGAGATAGAGGACAACACAATGGATTAAACACACTGTTCTTTCACTTCTAAGACCAGTGTTCTAATGCAACCTAGACAAATGCAATAAAAATTATACTCAAAATTTGCAGGAAGAGGAGAGAGTGAACTTGTGCAATCACAACTTTGTTACAAGTAGCCACCTACTCAACAATAAAACTTAAAATTCAAAAGTTGGTAATTTCACTCAGGCAGTTGTGGTAAGAAAGTAGAATCATTGCTCTTTCTATATTGAAGATTTTCAAGGTGAAGACTTGGTTCTTACGACTAAAGGAGTCAAAGGATAAGGGGATAAAGTAGACAGTTACTGAGTTGGATGATCAGCCATGACACATTGAATTGTGCAGCAGACCCAAACGGCCGAATGGCTCACTCCTGCTCCCATTTTCTAGATTTCTATTCTGTTTGAACAATACAAATCCATTTATCTACTTGATTCCATTTGAATGAGTTTGTAGTGACCGAGTTCAAAGTAATAATTTGTTTGTAAACTGAAATTTGGTACGACAGAAAAGAGAGGGGCTTGCTGTCAAACTTTTTCATCCTGAACTCATCAGGACAAATGCCAGAATACCAAATTTCAAATGAACAATTTATACCACAAGAAATTTATCGTTAATCATTTATTATGTAATAAATTCATGTCATAAGATTCAAAGACTTAATGGTGACAGTCAGCACTACTTCAAAGAGTGGCAAATCAAGGTTGAAAATTCAGCACGAAGTTGAACATAAATGTTTACCTGCTGCAAAACTGGGCTGAAATGCAGAGACAGAAGTTGGGCTCGAACACTCATTAGATTTATCTGTGACGAGTGGAGATGCAAAGCTCACAAGATCGTTGTAGATGCTGAAAGACAAGGACAAAAGTTACAACTGACAACAAGGCAAATGAAAGTGATAGGAATCAGTTGAATATCACAATTACTGGTGAACTTGTATATGCTTGCTTCAGGAGGCAAGTGAACTGTGAATTTACACTCAGGCTATGTGAATTGGGAGTTAATGAAATAGATGGTTATTCGCTGTCCTGCTGTTTTCCTTATTTGTGAATAAAGCACGTCATGTGTAAATCTGATAGGAGGCTTCTCTTTCTATCCCCAGCTCTGCTCTCCTGCTGAAGGTACATGGTTACAAGGGGATTGGTTCTAGGGACAAATAGCACAATTGTCCAGTCCTCCAGAGCACTAGCAAGCAGGGAGAAGAGACTGTAGCCACGCTGAATCCTGTCTTCATTTGATGCCCACTCAAACACATCGTTCCCTATCAGCCTCTCACCTCATGAGGTTAGGGAAGCTAATACTGACATTCTCACCAGTAAATAACTGCGCACAGATCAGGGACCAAGCACAGAACCTTCCTGACTTATGTGGCTTAGTGTCAGATGGTAAAGGTCCATTTATCCATGAGCCAGTGAGTAGGTCCTGAATAATTAGACTACATGATAATAGGTCATTATAACAAACAATGGATTGATGCATTTTCTACAAATGTTCATTTCTCAGGTAGATTGAAGGTTACAGGTTTGAGTCCTCTGACTTGGAACTAGAATATTATCTTGCTGCCAAGAAAAGTTATGAACTATGACGAGCAGTGGAGGACTTTCAAAGCAATTTTTCAAAGTGCTCAGCAAAAGTATATTCCAGTGAAAAGGAAGGACTGTAAGAAAAGGGGTAATCTGCCATGGGTGTCTAAAGAAATAAGGGAGGCTATCAAATTGATAGAGAAGGCATACAAAGTGCCAAAAACAGCATGAAACTAGAAGATTGGGAAAACTTTAAAGGTCAACAGAAAGCCACAAGAACAGCTATAAAGAAAAGTAAGACAGAACATGAGAAAAAAACTAGCACAGAATATAAAGAGAGATAGCAAAAGTTTCTATAAATATATAAAACGAAAAAGAGTGGCTAAAGTAAACATCGGCCCTTTAGAGGATGAGAAGGGGAATTTAGTTATGGGATATAATGAAATGGCCGAGGCATTGAACAGGTATTTTGTATCGGTCTTCACACACTAACAACATGCCAGTAATTGACAAAGAGACGAAGGTAGGTGAGGACCTGGAAACAATCATTATTACGGAAGAGGTAGTGTTGGGCAAGCTAATGGAGCTAAGGATTGATAACTCTCCTGGCCCTGATGGAATGCATCCCAGGGTACTAAAAGAGATGGCAGGAGAAATAGCAGGTGCGCTGGTGGTAATTTTCCAAAATTCACTAGACTCTGGGGCAGTCCCAGCAGATTGGAAAACAGCAAATGTGACGCCACTGTTTAAAAAGGGAAGTAGACAAAAGATGGGGAATTATAGACCGGTTAGCTTAACCTCTGTAGTGAGGAAGATGCTCGAGTCTATTATCAAGGAAGAAATAGCAAGGCATCTTGATAGAAATTGTCCCGTTGGGCAGATGCAGCATGGGTTCATGAAGGGCAGGTCATGCTTGACAAATCTTTTGGAATTCTATGAAGACATTACGAGCAAGGTGGACAATGGGGACCCTGTGGATGTGGTGTACCTAGATTTCCAAAAGGCCTTCAACAAGGTGCCGCACAAGAGGCTACTGCATAAGATAAGGATGCATGGCGTTAAGGGTAAAGTATTATCATGGATAGAGGATTGGTTGACCAACAGGAAGCAAAGAGTGGGGATAAATGAGTGCTATTCTAGCTGGCAGTCAGTGACTAGTGGTGTGCCTCAGGGATCGGTGTTGGGACCGCAATTATTTACAATTTATATAGATGATTTGGAGTTGGGGACCACGTGTAGGGTGTCAAAGTTTGCAGATGACACTAAGATGAGTGGCAGAGCAAAGTGTGCAGAGGACTGTGAAACTTTGCAGAGGAACATAGATACATTGAGTGAGTGGGCAAAGGTCTGGCACATGGAATACAATGTAAACAAAAATGTGAAGTCATACATTTTGGTAGGAGTAATAGTAAAAAGGATTATTACTTGAATGGTTAAAAAGTTGCAGCATGCTGCTATGCAGAGGGATCTGGGTGTCCTTGTGCATGAATCACAGAAGGTAGGTCTGCAGGTACAACAAGTAGTTAGGAAGGCAAATGGAATTTTGCCCTTCATTGCTGAAGGGATTGAGATTAAAAGCAGAGAGGTTATGTTGCAGCTGTACAAGGTGCTGGTGAGGCCACACCTGGAGTACTGTGTGCAGTTTAGGTCTCCTTACTTGAGAAAGGATGTATTGGCACTGGAGGTTCACTAGGTTGATTCCAGAGTTGAGGGGGTTGGCTTATGAGGAGCGACTGAGTCGATTGGGATTATATTCATTGGAATTCAGAAGATTGAGTGGGGGGGGATCTTATAGAAACATATAAAATTATGAAGAGAATAGATAAGATAGAAGTAGAGAGGATGTTTCCACTGGCAGGTGAAGCTAGGACAAGAGGGCATAGCCTCAAGATTAGAGGGAACAGATTTAGGACTGAATTGAGAAGGAACTTCTTCACCCAGAGGGTTGTTAATCTATGGAATTCCTTGCCCAGTGAAGTAGTTGACGCTACTTCAGTAAACGTTTTTAAGGTAGATTTTTTTTGAACAATAAAGGAATTAAGGGTTACGGTGAGAACATGGGTAAGTGGATCTGAGTCCACGAAAAGATCAGCCATGATTTTATTGAATGGCGGAGCAGGCTCGAGGGGCCGGACGGCCTACTCCTGCTCCTAGTGCTTATGTTCTTATGTTCCTGGCAGCAACCCAACCAACACACACCAAGAAAAAAGGATCTTTTTCTCTCCATGAGTTTCTGTACATTAAAATTGAAAGATACAATATGGATAGCAAGCTGACAATTTCTACTCAGTCCCAATGGATCTGGCTATTTTCATACAGGTAGCCTTAAATGAGGAAAATAGCCTGTTGATGATACCCTAAAAGGATGAACTGTTTAAAGGCCATTCGCGATGTTCAAAGGTGTGGGTGAAGTAGACTGAAGATGCACACTGAACTAAATGCAATTAGATCACTGCGTTCAGGACGGATAGGATAAAAGAAAAAGTCATGCAAATTGACATGCAAAATTATGGACAAATACAGACCCAATTATGGAAAAATGCTCCAACATAAAAATGGTAGGCAATGGCATTGGCACCAGTGGTTCAGTATTTTATAATTTATAGTTAAACATTCTTAACTGAACTACGTCAATATAATTTTTGAATACTAGTTAACATATTACTGCAACATTCAACGTTACTCAAGAGACTGGGTATAATAGTTTCCAGTAAGCTGCACAGCCATGTTGTAAACTAAAAGTTCTGTGCAGGCTGTACACAAACCTTTTGAAAATATTGTGCTCTGGGTCATGTAAAAATATTTGAAGGGCATGAACTTAAACAAATCAACTATGCATGACAAACCAAGAGAAGGTAAATTGAGGCAAGTTAGCACGAGTGCCCAGTGGTGAAAAAATTATGGAAGATTTAAAAAGCTTTAAAAATAAAGATCTTAAAAATTCATTGCAACTATTTCACCCTGATACAAACAACTGAAAATCAGGTTCAAGACAGTGATCTGTGTAAAGCAATATCCAAATGGCCAACTTTTGGACATCTTCATTTCATGCATTTCCTCAAAATTAGTACTCAACTGTTCACTGCACATTCATGACTGGTATCGAAGGACAGTTCTTTAAAGCTTTACTGGAGGTTGGTAAAACCAAAAGGGCCAAGACAAGTTGTATAACTTGTAGTAATTTTAATATCTTCCTTACTTTAGGCTCTGAGATTTCATTTCCTTTAGAGTTGGCGTAATCTCCTGTAGCATTTCAACATGTTCCTGACTTCGGAGCTGTCCCATGGCCTGCACTATTGTGAACAGCACAGTTTGGATGTTATCCTGCCAAGACTTGTATTCAGCTAAAAACTGACGCACACTGTCCTCATAGGGGACATCTTCATTGTCTCCTAGAGCTGCTTCTTCATCCTTTTAATGGGTGCGAAGAAATGAGAAAACATTATTTTCTTTTCACAAGAGTGTTTCGCCATGTTAGATATATTTGCTGCCAGTTCCAATCATTTGTACAACAGAACTAAAAACATTTTACCAAATGATTGCAATGGCTGATCACTTTAGGAAACTATTGTGCTTACATGCTGAGAAACTCGATTATCAAAAAATCCAGCAATGGACATTGACAATGAACAGAAATTTCTTTCCAAAAAAAAATGGGATACCAAGAGATACATGGCCAGTTAGTTTGCACACAGCGGACACCCGAGTTGAAAGCACTTTCAAATCAAGACAAAATGAACTAAATTCTCCCTATGTGAGCAAGAAGTCTGGAATGTGGAATTAGCTTTCCTCACAGTCCAGTTCATGGAGAGAGGAACCCATTAACACAAAACCAGCAGTGCTCATTACAGATGCAATTAGAATGACTGTTGGAGATTATGTGGTCATAGCTGAAATCAAAGTACGATTTTACAGAGAATGCCAAATTCTATTTTTCTGTCATTGCTGATAGGATTACTGAACTACTGGCCAGTTCAGCTGTTAACAGGACGTTGGTATCGCTGCAACTATGAACGTGTGTGATACAGCACTAGATGGTTCTCAGGTGTCTACAGACTCTTGGGCTACAACTAACCAAGTCAGCTTGAAAAGGAAGTTGTCTAAATCTCAGGTTCTTCTGTCCAGGTTTCTCATGAGATATTTTGGTCAATATTTTTAAAAATTTCTTTGGAACAATCTCACTTCCTACTTGATCCAGCATGAAGCAACAGTCCTCCTGTTCCACAAGCTTAATCCAAATGCTGAACAGAATAAGGTCCTTTCTTTGCATTTAAAAAAATCCCTTTAGGAATTCGCTGAAAACCTAACTGCTTAATCCGGATTTGCCTGTGGATTTACAAAAATGCGAGTGAGAAGGCAAAGTGTGTGCATTTTAGCCATTGGGTGTAAACTCACAATCTGAAAAACAGCTATTACCACTGTCTCAATTCTGAAACAAAGTCAAAGTCAGAGGATCAAAACCTTGATCGAATTAAGTACAAATACAGCAAAGCATAAAGGCTAAACACATATATAAACATAAAGGCTAAAGGATAAACAGTATGATGATGCTGTCACTTTAAAAAGGTTATTTTGACCTGGGTTTTTCTTGAAAGTCAGAGGTGCCAAGGAGTCTAGGGACCTAGAAAGCTAAAACAGTTTAACAACGGAAGGGAAATGGCCAGTTCTCCCAGTTCAGGGTTTCAGAGTCTCGTTTTTAAAAACCTGTAGCAGTCACAAAATATGTTTTGAGTACTAGAATGGTTGCAAGCTTCAGTAAATGATTCCAAACTGGCTCTCTCTGGATATTGTTCCTTCCTGCCTATAAGAATCTATGTTTGAATTTATCTTTTTGCAAGGGGCTTGCTTATGGGATGTTACTATATTGGAACAGTTACATAGCTGAGTTGCTGTATCAGATTGGTGAAGTTTTCCAATAATTAAGTTTTCTAAATTCTGCTTTCTTTTGTTTGGGTCTCAACTATAGTGTTTAAATAGATTCTGTTTTGTTTAAAACCGGGTAGTTTGACCAACTGCATCACACCTGGAACACCCACTTCACATCTACTTTTAAAATAAAAAGAAGTTAGGGTCTAGGCTACTTCGAATATTTTGATGGGGGGTCTGGCCTGGTCCATAACATTTAGCGGCAACTTAGATCATAAATGTGTGCTTTACAGAAAAGACAAAACTTTAACTACGACTACAAATTCACATGCAAATCTTTAAGTAGTAAAAGATTAGCTTTGGTGTAGAGCTGGATGAACACAGTAGGCCAAGCAGCATTAGAGAAGCAGGAAAGCTGACGTTTCTGAAGAAGGGTCCAGACCCAAAACGTTAGCTTTCCTGCTCCCCTGATGCTGCTTGGCCTGCTCTGTTCATCCAGCTCTACACCTTGTTATCTCAGATTCTCCAGCATCGGCAGTTCCTACTATCTCCAAAAGATTAACTTTCACTTGTTGCATCTGCAAACACAAGCAAATGAATTCAGACCACTTCCACAAATGTGATCTTATGTATATAACTGGAATGGAGGTAGGGGTGGTTGGAACAGGGTTAAAGTTTAAATGACTGGTGAAACGTTTAGTGATATGCAAAAATTAAGGGCTGGATGCAGTGCAGGCCATCATGGTGGGGACAATGCAATCGGGCCCACTTAACAGCGAGATATCCTGTGTCAGCCTCCTGTCTTAGGATAATGTCCCCAAACAGGCCACAGGATGGAAGAGGCTAACACTGGAATCCACTAGAGAGGGGATGTAGTCAGGCTCATTAATGATCCATTGACATGCATTAGACTTGAGGCCACTACAATATAGTGGTGCCTCCGGTGGTTAAAGGGAGGCCGCACAGGTCTCAAAAGGTTGTGGGCCTAGTGCACGAAAGTAGGGCTAGTGTAAGCAGTAGTGTAATTTTCAGACAGATTTGATGGACTGAAGGGCCTCTTCTGTACTGTATGACCATGAGCCTCGGAAGGTAGCCCAGCAAAATCTATCCAGCTTGTCATCAGCCTCCTGGAGGGGGTGGGGACCTCACCAACAGGGACTTGATGACCAAGTCAGGGAACCTGGGATCAAGCAGAAGGACAGTCACCAACAGCCATCCTTGTCCTTGCAGCCCTGGTGCACCCACTCCACCATGGGTAGGGCCTTTCTGCGACTGGCTGAGTGCAGTGCTGCCAGCAACCAGCACTCTTGCTGGTGGCAGTGAACAGCTGCTAGTTGGCTGCATTTCTGACACTTGTAGGGAAGATTGAGAACCTGGCAGGCACTCTGCTCCATTGGGTCTCTCCTTCCCCACCTTCCCCATCAATTCTCCAAGAGGTGAGATGAGAACACTATTGGCCTGACTGAATTCCAGCCTAATTTCATCTGTCATGTTCTGTCTAACATTTGGGCAAATAGCTGATTACTCATTTACCAAATTTGAAAGTGAGTGATGACCCACTCTCCTGGAAAGGTGGATGGTTTGATCACCTGAAACTAAGGTGCTGAAACCAATCAGGTCCGGGAAACACTCTACAGAGTGAACCACAAGGTTTGTCAAATGGTTCAGATCATCTTCATTCTAAACTATCAAAGAAGTTATCAAAATAGTATCAAATTCTCAAAGTATGCAGTAAGAAAGGCGGTTTAGGCAACGATACTGGCTGTCTCGAGATCTGGTATGATTTTTCCACTGTGAACTTACCCAACACTTATTACAAGTTGATCCTCCACTTATAAAGGAAGCCCAATCCCAACAATCCAAAACAAAATCAAAATCAGTATTGTCAATATCTACAACACTCAACTTGGAAGAGGTTCCTACAACCATGCACCACTACCTCACATCTTTCATTGTAATATTTGATATCTATTAACCTACAGAACCAATAGACCGCCACTACATATTTCTGTGAATAGTTAGCAAAATACATTAATTTTTTAAAGAAAGAATGGAAAACATAAACATAAACCCCACAGACCTTCTGGAAAAACCCAAGTTAAGTCAGATAGGGAGATTACAAGTAAAATAGTCAGCCGACCATGAAAGTAGAAATAAAATTTGAAAGCCAAATCAGCCATTTCCCCCCCACCCAAAAAAAATTGAAATGAGATCATTACCTTTGCCATTGCTTTAAGTAGGTGTTTAACATCTGCCAATAGTTTGTTATGGCCAGTAAGCACAGTTTTAATGTTATCCACTAGCGTCTGTATTGTTTCACAAACTGCTTCAATCTGTTGCTCCTTCTCAGACTGCACTGCCCTCTGGGTTGACATATCTTGAGTCAGTTGTTTGTGCGCAGACGAAAGCCATTCAGAACTTCCTATGGGATGTTCAAGACTGGAAGCCTGAAAGAAATAGTAAGCATTACACTCTATTTCTGCTGTTTTGGGTATTTATAATCTCATTTCCATTTATGTGTGAGACTTCACTTCCAGAATCAGCTGCTGCAGTTAATCAGTGCAACAACATTTTAAACTCAGGTCTCCAAAACCTCATTGTTGTGCATCGTTGCTGACAGCATGTAGATTATATTATGCTGCTACAATGCTTCAATCCTAGTTCCAGATAATGAAACAAGCAGGCGGGAATTTAAGTGAAGATAAACAAAGATATGGATTGGTTGGGCTGAAATGGATATACATAGAAACAAGGAAACATGAAACTTATATTCTACTTAGTTTGTAGATGTAAATTTATATCTAAGCAAGCTATGGGCAACATTAATGCTCCCAGATGACTGGCTGTCAAATCTTAGCTCACGATTTATTGATTAGATCAGTTGGAATGTTGTGTGGGAAGGTGTGGAAGGTGTTATTCTCACGTTGCTGCATTACGCCAGTGTTAATCCTAAATCACAGTACTGGTGAGAATGAGAGGTTTGTAATAAATGCAGGTTAATAAGCACAGATTTAAAACTTTGTTTTAACCCACACGCAAATGGTTACAAATTGGTGTAGCCCAAAGATAAAAAGTTTGTGTAACTCTCCTGTAGAGCACAAGATGAATAAATACCAAGCTGAACTAACTTTAAAGTTTAGATTAAATCAAGTCTCCTTTCTCTCTTTCCCATTAATAATACTAAAGCATGTTGAGACAGGGAACAAGTAGTGGAATGATAGCTAACTAACCCATTCCCTGCTTTCAGACTACAGGCAAAGAGCTGCGATTCAGACTGGCAGAAGGTGGAAAGTGATCCAAAGGACCTGTGCTTGGGCTGCTCTTATTCACAATATACAAATCAATTCAGACTTTGGAATCAAACACGCTATTTCTAAATTTGCAGACAACTTCTGATGTAGGGTACAACTACTAAGAGGTGCTGTAAAGCTACGATCGAGATGCTCTGAAATTACACATGGAGTCTAGCAATGCAACACCATGAGAGTTGTGGAAGAGGATGCTGCTGTTGCTCAAGTGTTTTGTAGAAGCCAAGGATCAAGAGGAGAGTGAGAGAGTCAGGGTGTTGCCATAAATATTTCAAAACCTCAGTGTTGCATGGCATTGGCACAAAAATCCTGAGTCTGTGTTGATCACAAACCAGCCACACAAATTCCCAATCATGCTAATAAACACAAAGAGGAGGGGAGGTAAGAGAAACTGAAGAGGAAGTGAAGCATTATCTAGTTATTCTTCATGTGCTGTTCAAGATATGATAACAATTGGTAGAAAAATGACAGGTCAGGTACTGTTGCTCTCTGCCAAACATGGATGGGCAGAGGAGTGGAGGGATCATTTAGGTAGCTGGGAAACCGGGGGCAGTGAAAGAATAAAGCAAAGAGATATATAATGTCAAATATCTCAAGTTACAACACATTCTTTAAAATGCAGCAACTTTTATCATAAAGGAATGACATTTGAGAGCTTCATAAAGTAGGCTGTTTGCATGAAATATTTAATTATCATCTGAATTCTAATATGCATGCCTCAACAGCATCTAAAATGTGTCAAGGCTCATGAATGTTACCATCAACCAACAGCTTTAGAAAGTTTCAACTACAGTGGTTTTCCTTAAATGGGGATCTGTGCAATACATGACCACATTTCAAAAATATTTATTAAATGAAATTGATTATTTGTGAAGATGCACACCTTCACAATAGACACACAGTTGCAGCAGTGTGTAGCAACTACAAGATGCACTGCAGTAACTCACCAAGGCTCCAACAGTAACTTCTATGACCTAAAAGGACAAAGGCAGCACATGCACAGGAAATTCCCCTCCAAGCTAAAAACCATCCAGAGATGGAACCAGTTACACGCTACAGAGTTACTGGAACAAAAAATTCTTTTCAACTCACCAAACGTTTAAGCAGGCGGAGTTCAAGATCTGAGACTGAACTGCTAAATTGTGATGCAAATGAACACATCTGTTGGCACCGCTTAATTAAGTCAAACAACGCTGCATCCAAACTCAAGGCTTCTGGTGTCCTGGTTCGCAAGCTTTCAAAATGAAGTATTGTGCTACAGAGGAAAGTCACCTGAAGAAATGGGAAACATTATTAACAATGCTAAAGAGGAAATCCTTGATTCTTTTAAGCAAAAGTCCATTTTTGGAAAGCTACAGGTTTGGGTTGTTAAGTGGCAAATAATATTCAAGCCACACAAATGCCGTAGAGAGCGCATTTAACCATCTTCCATCGAAAGCCCATTAACATCCTCCTGGAGGTTACAACTGGCTAGAAACTTAACCAAACCAGCCATATAAATACTGCGGCTACCAAAGCAGGCCAGAGGCTAGGAATCCTGCATTGAGTAACTCACCTCCTGAACCCCCAAAGCCTATCCACCATCCACAAGGCACAAGTCAGGAGTGTGATGGAATACTCTCCACTTGCCTGGATGGGTGCAGCTCCAACAACACTCAATCAGTACACTTAACTGGCACCCCAATTAACACCTTCACCATTGGCTCACTCCACCAGAGACAGTGGCAGCAGTGTGTAGCAACTTGCAAAGACTCTTTCAACAGCGCCTTCCAACCATTAATTTCTACCACCTAAAAAGACAAAAGGTGGCACATGCACAGGAAGGTCCCCTCCAAGCCAAAAACCATCCAGAGATGGAACCAATTTGCGGATATTTCAGGTTCATTGGGTCAAAGTCGTGCAATTCCCTCCCAAAAAGAGTTCTGTGGGTGCACTTAGGTTCAGGTGGTAGTTCACCATCACTGTCTTCAGGGCAATTAGGGATGGATAATAAATATCTCAAACAAATATTAGCTTTAAATTTTTCTGATGAGTTGTCAAAAGACACACAGAGCCAAAAATGGGGAAAGAAAGCAGTGTGCGCCCTTACAGCACAGGAAACACTCAAGAAGCAATGCTGATGTAAATCACTCAAAATATTCAAACACCATCTTGGCTTAAGTCAAAATGCAGTTTTAGCTTTTCTAATGACTCTTGAACAACGTCATACATACTTGGTTTGCTCGTTGACTTTCCTTCATGACCACATTCCTCCTTTCAGTGATAGTAGCCTCAAAATCTTGCAGAACAGGAGCCAAAGCAGGATTAGCCCCACCAGCCCATTTCAAACGCTGCTCAATGCTAGCTTCTAAAGCTGCCAACTTTTCCTGTGGGGTTAAATATTTGTTAGATAAAACGATTAAGTGATAAGCTTTGGTCATTTTTATACCAGCATACTTCTAGGCAGCTAATAAAAAAATGACAAGAAATGGCAAATATTTCATCACTGAAATTTAAAGAACACAAATGTCTTTAAATTTCTATAACTGAGGCAATAACAGAGCCTCTAGTCCTGGATAACTTCATTTGGCTTGGCAAGCTTTGACCCATGGTTACTCACTTCAGGATTTCTATCTTGAAGTGATAAATATTGTGTTCTTGAAGTGGAATAGTGTGTTCAGTTCTGGAAACCTCATTATAGGAAGGATGTGGAAGCTTTAGAGAGGGTGCAGAGGAGATTTACCAGGATGATGCCTGGACTGGAGGGCAGGTCTTAGAGGAAAGGTTGGGGGAGCTAGGTCTTTTCTTATTGGAGCGAAGAAGGATGAGAGGTGACTTAGAGGTTTACAAGATGATGAGAGGCATGGATAGAGTGGATAGGATAGCCAGAGACTTTTTCCCCAGGACAGAAATGACTATTACGAGGGGCATAATTTTAAGGTGATTGGAGGAAGGTATAGGGGAGATGTCAGAAGTAGGTTCTTCACAGAGAGAGTGGTGAGTGGATGGAATGCGCTGCCAGCAGTGGTAGTGGAGTCAGATACATTAGGGACATTTAAGCGACTCTTGGATAGGCACATGGATGATAGTATAATTTAGGGTATTCAGGGTAGTTTAATCTTAGTAGGATAATAGGTCAGAACAACATCGTGGGCTGAAGGGACTGTACCGTGCTGTGCTGTACTGTTCTATATTCTTTTAAAAATCCCCATTTTGTCGTAAAGGAATCTTTTGCATCCCAACAACAGCTGCTTTGTAAGCCACCCTGATTTCGATTGTGTCAAATCTATGTCATTTATAAAGACCACATCTTCAACAATGTGTGCTTGAGCTATTTATTCTAAACCGTAAATAGATTTGCAACTGTATCAAACTGTGTGTAACAAAAAGGTCAACACTGGCCAGCAATGCTGAAGGCTCATTGCTAGCCTGCACACACAAGCCAACATCTCCATCCACCCATGATAATATGACAAAATGATATCAGATAACGGTTACAGAGGTAGTAGGAACTGCCGACGCTGGAGAATCTAAGATAACAAGGTGTAAAATTCTGAAGAAGGGTCTAGACCCGAAACGTCAGCTTTCCTGCTCCTCTGATGCTGCTTGGCCTGCTGTGTTCATCCAGCTCTCCACCTTGTTATCTCAGATAACGGTTACTTTACTAAGTCGTTCAGCTTTGACTGACAGTCACAATAGGGAAACGTATCCTGCCTGTGCCACAAAGACAGTCATTTACCTGTACGGTAGCAATGGAAACCTCCAGCTGACTAAGTGCGTGCAGTTTCTTTTTCATATTAGATAGAATGCCTGAGCGAGGTGGAGGTGTAACTGTCGAAATAGGCTGGGTTCTATTGATGAGAATATCTTCATGCTGCCACTGTTAGAATGAATGGAACAATATTCAGCACAGATCAATTACTCACTATATGAACATAAAATATAAAAATATAGAGAATATTGCTGTTAACGAGTTTGCATCTTTATGCAAGATGTTCAAATGTATGGAAAAATTTCTAATGCTGAGTACTCAACAGTGATCTTACATTAATGTAAAGGAGGACAGCAAGTAGGGTTTTTAAAAATTATTTCTAAATGCATACATAATTTCAATCTTAAAGAAGAAAACTAACTCCGATCTGGACATCTCTCAAAAGAATCTACCTCATTGTTAGCCTACTCCAATAATTTATAGGGAACTGCTCAAACACGGTTGATCTAATTTCAAATTAGTTTGAGGAATAATCAAGAGCCGCCTGAGATAGTACACGTCAGAAATGGGAATACAAATCTTTTACAGAAGAGTTTCAGAGGGTCAAGTTGTTCTGTTGTAGCAGAGGAATACTCTTCATGTTTGATGTTTATGAAGTCAGCTAAATGCAGCGGAAGATGGAGTTTAACAGCTGCAAGTGTGCATGAAACTGGACATTTTTCAAACAAAAATGGCAAAAAGGAGATAGTTCAAACAATGGGTACTCCCTATACTTTGCTTTTACTTTAAACAAAAAAAAGTAAAAACATAAATCAAGAGCTTACCTGAAACATTGCAATCTGTATCTGCACCCTCTGAAAACTGGTCTTACAAGATGCAATGTTTGTCTCTAACCTGCGAACCAGGTCATGTTTTTTCCAAGCAGTGTCATATGAGCTGGCCAGAACGGTGGCTCTGTTCATAACTAACTGCGAAAATCTGCCAACCTGAATATTGTGTTCCACTGCTTTCTTACAAAGGTCATCCACAGAGACCTTGCTTTCAGCACCAAAGTCTTTGGCTTCTACCTGAGCAATAATGTCCACACCAAGGGCACTGATGTAACTGCAAAGAGTTAAGCCAAGGGCTTGGGTTGGCAGACCAATCAAAAGTTGTCTTACAAAGTCTGCTGTAAAGGCCTTTATTGGCTTGGCCATTTGATCTTCGCTGAAGCAGGAACTTCTGTACATGGATTTTACATTAACCATTGGCACAGGACCATTCAATGAACTGGGATCATCGAGAGGAATAGCCCCTGGAAAAGAAAACAAAGTATGACATTAGAGCAATTACAAATATAGAGACAAAAAGAAACACTGCAGATGCTGGAATCCAAGGTAGACAAACAGGAGATTGCAAGAACACAGCAGGCCAGACAGCATCTGGAGGAAAGGAGCAATCAACGTTTTGGGTATCACTCTTTTTCAGGAGGGAAGTGGGATATTTTTCAGTGCAGGCCCGTAAAATTAATTTGAATTCCTTTAAGATTTATTTGTCAAACAAAAAGGAATTAGAATTCATGGCAACTGAAAAATAAATGCATTTGTTAAACATATTAGGTGTCACACATGAGGCTGCTAAATAAGATAACAGCCCACAGTGCTTGGGGATGGACTGAGGATTAGCTGACTGACAGTAACCAGACTACAGATAGAGATAGTAAGAACTGCCAATGCTGGAGTCAGAGATAACACAGTGTGGAGCTGGAGGAACACGGCAGGCCAGGCAGAAATTTCTGAAGAAGGGTCCCAACCCGAAACGTCAACTTTCCTGCTCCTCTGATGCTGCCTGGCCTGCTGTGCTCCTCCAGCTCCACCACTGTGTTATCTCTAGAGATAAAAGGGTCTTTTTCAGGATGGCAGCCAGTGACTAATGGAGTTCCTCAGGGGTCTGTGTTGGGACCACAACTATTCACATTATACATCAACAATCTGGATGAAGGAACTGAGGGCATTGTTGCTACGCTTACAGATGACACAAAGCTAGGTGGAGGGACAGGGTAGTGTTGAGGAAGTGGGGAGGCTGCAGAAGGACTTGGACAGGCTGGAAGAATAGGTAAAGAAGTGGCAGATGGAATACAATGTCAGAAAGTGAGGGGTTATGCACTTTCGGAAGAAGAATAGAGGCACAGACTATTTCCTAAATGAGGAAAGGCTTTGGACGTCTGAAGCTCAAAGGAACTTAGGAGTCCTAGTTCAGGATTCTCTTAAGGTTAACCATGCAGGTTCAGTTGGCAGCCAGGGAGGCAAATGCAATGCTAGAATTCATTTCAAGAGGGCTAGAACGCAAGAGCAGAGATGCACTGCTGAGGCTTTTTAAGGCTCTGGTCAGACCGCATTTGGAATCGAGCAGTTTTGGGCCCCAAATCCAAGGATGTGCTGGCGCTGGAGGGGGTCAATCCTGGGGATGAAGGGTTCGTCATACGAGTAGTTGTTGAGGATTCTGGGTCTATAATTGGGAGTTTAGAAGGATGAGGGAATCTGACTGTAACTTACAGAATACCGAGAGGCCTGGATAGAATGGACATGGAGATGATGTTTCCAATAGTCGGACAGACTAGGACACTGAGGCTGTGCCCTTGGGAAGGCCAAGTTATTGAATGTATTGACAACAAAGATAAACAGGTTCTAGATAGATAGGTAAGAGGATGAAGGGTTACAGGGAAAAGCAGGAGAATGGGGTTGACAAACATATCAGCACGATGAAATGGCAGAGCAGGCTCGATTAGCTGAATGGCTTAGTTCTGCTCCTATTTTTTATGGTTTACCATGCCTTTGGAAACTTGCGGCAAATTCTAAGATGCTGCTGTGCAAGTTTAGCTGCAACAGCTGCATGTCCAACCTTCGAACAAAGAGTGCCAGGTATAAAATAGAAGATGCATAGACACATCATTCAGATGATACCTTTGGGTGGAGCAATAATCATCCTATTGTTATGTACATGGCTACTAATTACTGAAGTAGATGGTAAAAGTACAATAAAAAATGTAACCTTCACCTCCGACAAAAGTCATTCTGTGACCAGGGTTAGAGGGTTTGAGCCATAGAAAGAGATCAAATAGGCTGGCGCTATTTTCCCTGGAGCCAAGGGGCTGCCTTATAGAAGTTTATAAAATCATGAGGGGCATGGATAGGGTGAATAGCCAAAGTGTTTTCCCCGGGGTGGTAGAGTCCAAAACTAGAGGGCATAGTTTTAAGGTGAGAGGGGAAAGATTTAAAGGGGACCTAACGGGCAACTTTTTCACGCAGTGGGTGGTGCGTGTATGGAATGAGCTGCCAGATGAAGTGGAGGAGGCTGGTACAATTACAACATTTGAAAGGCATCTGGATGGGTACATAAAAGGAAGGGTTTACAGGGATATGGACCAAATGCTGGCAAATGGGACTAGATTAATTTAGAACGTCTGGTTGGCATAGATGAGCTGGGCCAAAGGGTCTGCTTCTAAGCTGTACAGCACTATGAATCTTAAGTTAATTAAGCATGTGCTACATTTAAAAGTCAATTCAAACTTTGGCAATTCATTCTTAAACAACTAAACTGTCACTTCAGTTAATTACATTATTCAATACGATCATATACACACAATTTATTAATTTTGTTGCTGTAAAAGAAATTGCAAATTATCAATATGGAAAAGGGATAAGGAACACAATTTTACTCAAAGCTGTGTGTTGTACAACAGAACCAAACCTTAGTACCCATGTCTACACGAATTGCGGAGACAGCTTGCTGAAACAGCTCAGGCTCCAAAAGTAACCATGTAACTCAACCAGAATGGAAATCATTCTTATACATCTCAAAGTTATTCCTTCACAGACAGCAAGAACAAACTTTTGATATATCGTGTAACAATTAAGACTTTTAAGTATTACCTGATAACGTATGAGCAAAAGTACCACAAAGTCGGAAGAATTCCTTTATAGTTTGCAGTCGTTTCAGAAAGAAGATCTCTTCCAACACTAATCTGTGATTGTCATCGTCAAAGAAATTGACCTGGGTACTGCGGGCCTCTCTGATAATGTCAATCTTCCGCCATGCCAATGGCACCTCCATCTTGTTCAACTACAGGAATAATCATTATATAGTTGGAAATAAGAGATCAATACATGTTGCACCCTGCTAAAATTATATTGTGACTTTAACAACCTGTATTGTACATGAAGGAAATAGTTCAGTGTTTTAAATACTGTCATCGGCATAAGGGGCTTATAAAATTATGTCTTAAATTAATGTACATTTTTACAAAATTGAACAACATGACTCGAGTACAGACAGCTGAAGGTACAAAAAAAGTTACAATTCAACCACATTTCCAGAGTGTGGACAAATTAAACCACATCTACACAATAAATGCACATGAATTTGAGGTTACATAATATAAACTATGCAAACATATTACCTTCTCAATTAATAAACCAAATGCAATTTCCACTTGGGCAAACATCCCATCAAAAGCAACAAGTAACATCTGCCCAGCTGACATTTTAGGCGTCTCTTCCACTGGAACATCCACACTTCTTGGCTGAATCAATTCAGTATACTGGGCACGCAGCATTCTATAGGAATAAACAGAGCAAATATGAAGTCTGAAGAAATCAGGTTAGGTGGATTGGCCATGCTAAGTTGCCCATAGTGTTCAGGGATGTGTAGATTAGGTGGGTTATAGGGGGACAGGTCTGGGTGGGATGCTCTGAGGGTCAGTTTGACTTGTTGGGCTGAAGGGCCTGTTTCCACACTGTAGGGATTCTGTGATCTATGAAATAACTTGCATGCCTCAAATTTTGCACTCGACACTGCAGTTATTAGAAATGTGAAAGTGTGGTGCCCTCTAGAGGGACTGTTTGGGCACAGCAAGTGTGTATCTAACCTGACTGAAGTATCCTTACAGAGGGAAGGAGTCTGAAGCAGGAAGTGCAAGTTAGAACAGTTATTTCAACAACAAATAATGTGCAAAAAAGTGGGGGAAACATGGATTTGAGAACGAATGTGCACAAAGGGCCAGCAAATAAAACAAAATCAATGTTATAAAATTGAGCAATAGTTAATATCTGAAAATGCATAATATCTCACATGCCATAATGGTTGATTTGAGTGCCAGAGGAATTAGTAGCAAGTAAAACTTATTTTCTATGTTATCCTCTTCTTTTTCTGGACTGGTATTACTCCTCTGGACATTATATAAGCTGCCCATAGGTGAAAATTAGAGTCATACAGCACGGAAACAGACCTTTCAAGGCCAACCAGTCCATGCTCAACATAATGCCAAACTAAACTAGTCCCACCTGCCTGCTCCTGGCCTATATCCCTCCAAACCTGTCCTATTCATGTACTTATCCAAATGTCTTTTAAACATTGTAATTGTACCCACGTCCACCACTTCCTCAGGAAGTTCGTTCTGCATGTGAACCACCCTGTGTAAAAAAAATTGTCCCTCATGTCTTTTTTAAAATCTCTCCCCTCTCACCTTAAAAAATGTGCCCCCTAGTCTTGAAATGCCCCATCCTAGGGAAAATTAATCCTATCTATACCCCTCATGATTTTATAAGATTAACCTAAGCTCCAGTGGAAAAAAGATCCCAGCCTATCCAGCCTTTCTTAACAGTCAACTTTCAAAGTAATGAACAACTTGTTTATTTCCCTGGATCTGTGGAGCTTAGAGGGAACATTGCTCAACATGCCATTAAGAATTAAATTACACTTCTGTGGCAAGTTGAGCTAATCTAATTCCCAAATAGAGTTATTCCATGCCCATCTGATATGACAATGCCAAGTTTTCTGGAAGATGCTGTTATGGTGAAGTTTTTGGAGCAGCAAGCAACTCAAGTCAGCAATTTCCACGTCATCTGTTCTGAGGAAGGGTCACCGGACCTGAAACCATAACTGACTTTCCTTAATAGATGCTACCAGACCTGCTGAGCTTTTCCAGCAACTTCTGGTTTTATTCCTGATTTACTGCATCCACAGTTCTTTCAGTTTTTAATTTTCAGGTCGCTGTACATTTGTGGTTGCTAAGTTGTTGATTTACATTGTAATAAAAGGTAAGTGAAGGCAGTTTCATCATTAATTTTAAAGGGACATTTTGGATTAGCAGTGAAGTGACAGACTTTCCTTCTGAAAACTTAACTTCGAACTCTAACTGCTTTTCTCTCCACAGGTGCTGCCAGACCTGCTGAGTATTTTCAGTAGTTTTCTTTAAAAAAAAAATCAGCTTCCGTGATATTTTGATTTTATTTATTTTAATAGTGAGAAGCTTTCAAAAAATGAAAGCATAATATCCATAAGGAATCACTTTCCCGTTAAAAACAAATATAAAATACACAGCAAGTCATGGAGCATCAGTGAACAGTAAATACAGCACAAGGTTGAGGACAGATTCTTCATGATTAAAAAAAACAACTTATAATCAAACATTTTAGTAATTCAGAGAAGGGATGATGGGGAGAAAAAAACAAGGTACCTAAGACAGAAAGCGAGTCAAATGGTGACTGCCCCATAACATGCCTAAATGTAGGAGGTACTTTAGAAGTAGGTGTAAAAGACCAACTTTTGAACAAGCATTGAATAAATCGAAGCTCCATGTATTTGTACCAAAACACACAGGGCAAGCAGCAGCAGTCACAAAAAGAGATTTTTTTCAATGCAGCTGGTGTTATATTTTCGTTCATAAGTAGACAGAAAGCCTGAGTTAAGTTTTAAAGATGCAAATTGAAACACATTACCAGAGAGTAAATTAAACTGTCATGCTCGGATTGACTGTTACTAAAAACGTTCTATTCAATTGTCAGTCATTATTATTAACACACTCATCTGAGGTATTGCTTTATTAAAGCATCTGCAAAACATTCTATCAAGACGACGTTGAAAAGCAGAGCGTATGGATGCGCTTCATCTTGCATTTTTATTATGGTTTGTTATGTGTTTAGAAATGAATACAAACATCAGTGCTTGGCTCTCCTGGGAACCCCTTAACCACTGTTTCTAATTATTATAACTGCTACAAGGGCTTTTAGGCATACTTTCATTGAGTCATACAGTACGGAAACAGATCCATGCTGACCATGTTCTAAACTAAACTAGCCCCATCTGCCTGTGCTTGGTCCATATCCCTCTAAACCTTTCCTATTCATGAACTTATCCAAATTGTTTTAATTGTTGTAACTGTACTTGCATTCGCCACTTTCTCTAGCAGTTCATTCCATACACAAGTGACTCCAAAAAAAAAATTGCCCCTCATCCTTTTTACATCATTTTCCTCTTACCTTAGAAATATGCCGCCTAGCTTTGAACTTAGGGAAAAGACCCTTGTCATTCACCTACGTCCCTCATGATTTTATAAACCTCAACAAGGTCACCCCTCAACCTTCTGTGAAGAATTCCCAATCTTTCCAGTCTCTTTTTATATCTCAAAGCCTCCATTCCTGGCAACATCCTGGTAAATCTTTTCTGAACCTCGCCAGTTTAATAGTATCCTTCCTATAACAGGGTAAACAGAACTGCACACAGTATTCCGGATGGGGCCTCACCAACATCCTATACAATCTCAACATGACATCCTTAGTCCTATACTCAAAGGTTTGAGAATAAAGGCAAGCATGCTAAACACGTTAACCATCCTGACTACCAGTGATGCAAATTTCAGTGATCTGAATAAAAAATTGCCTTTGGGATGCAAGTGTCTGACTGGGTCAACACTGATTGCCCTGAAAGGGGTGGTGGTGGTGAGCTATCTTTATAAAGTGCTGCAGTCCTTTTGGTGCAGGGACTCAGGACAATGTCTCTAGGATTAGAAGTTCCATGAACTATCAATGGAGTTGGCCAGGCTGAGGAGGGATTGGGACTCATGTTCCTTTCAGACAGCAGAAAGGTGTCAGGATCAGCTGCTTGTGTGTCGACAGCCAAGTGCACGTGCTAGCAACGAGAGTTAGTGGTACATTACCACACAAAATAAACAAACAACATACAACCATTTTGCAGCAGCAGCGGGAGCGAGGAACAGGGGACTGCCGGGAAGGTTATTTCTTCTTTTCGGCAGCAGAGCTCAGTGGGAGCAGCCGAATTGCGCTCTGGGAAGGTGAGTGAACTGATATTTGGGCAGTTTCAGTAGGGGATTACTTTGGGAATAGTGATCACAATTCCGTAAGTTTTAGAATACTCATGGACAAAGATGAGAGTGGTCCTAAAGGAAGAGTGCTGAACTGGGGGAAGGCCAACTATAGCAAAATTCGGCAGGAGCTGGGGAATGTGGATTGGGAGCAGCTGTTTGAGGTTAAATCCACATTTGATATGTGGGAGGCTTTTAAAGGGAGGTTGATGAGAGTGCAGGAGAGACATGTCCCTGTGAAAATGAGGGATAGAAAGGGCAAGATTAGGGAACCATGGATGACAGGTGAAATTGAGAGACTGGCAAAGAGGAAAAAGGAAGCATACATAAGGTCTAGGCGACTGAAAACAGACGAAGCTTTGGAAGAATATTGGGAAAGTAGGACCAATCTGAAACAAGGAATTAGAGGGCTAAAAGGGGTCATGAAATATCTTTAGCAAACAGGGTTAAGGAAAATCCCAAAGCCTTTCATTCATACATAAGGAGCAAGAGGGTAACTAGAGAAAGGGTTGGCCCACTCAAGGACAAAGGAGGGAAGTTATGTGAGGAGTCAGAGAAAGTGAGTGAGATTCTTGATGAGTACTTTGCGTCGGTATTCACCAAGGAGAGGGACATGACGGATGTTGAGGTTA